AAAAAATTGGCACTAGTATTGGTAAAGCATCTCTACCTATAGTGCATGCTAAATGAAGGTTGTTTTGCACCGTTGTGAATAGAGCCTTTAAAGATATACATTATGTAATGCATGGTATCCAGAAGAAAAACATCAATTAAGAGTAAAAAGACCCTTGTGAATTCATTCCTTCCCCTTAAGAGCCTTTATCTAGTTTAAGTAGTTCAATTTAATAATTGCCAAGGCTATTCTCTAGATCACAAACATACGGATAATGCTATCTACTCTCTGCTATATACTGCAATGTTGGTCAATACCATGACCTACATTTCACAGGACTTTCATAAAATGTAGGTCATGGTGTTGCGCCTGCAGTGTCCAATTGAGTTGTGTCTGCTTAATGTTTGGAGGAGAGGCAGGTCACATGACTTTTAGCATTCACATGACTAGGCTTACCTATAGTACATTTATCCTTTAAAGTGGTATTAAATCCAAAAGCAAACATTTATTATATTGTAACTTGCCAATTCTTAGATGTGATGGCTGCATTTATTTCTTTTTTAGGCTTTCTTTTTTCTATTTTCATCTGGTTATCTGTCTAGTAAGACTGTTGTTTTTCAAAAGCTCAAGCTCTCCAGCAGAATATATCAGTTTCCATGGATGAAACAAACCTTTTAACACTTGCAGTGGTGGTTAAAATGATCAGCTTTTATTTATTCATGCAAAACCTTTATCCCAAAAGGAACAAAACTGTTTGCTGTAACTGATTAGTGTGAGCTGGAGTATGGCTTCAGTTAGTTAGACAAACCATAGAGCACATGTGTCAAACACAAGGCCCCAGGGCCGAATGGGGCCCTCCAGGCCATTTCATGTGGCCTTCACACCTCCACTGCAGCTCTGCTCCCAACTTTTTCCCTGCAGTGTCAAAAGGCAAGGGGGGTGCACTATGATGTAAGGGAGGATAGGGGACTCTAACTTCTGATGGCGGGAGGCTCTGGACATCTGCTTATAATTATTATGAGAATAATACAATTCGATGACAGTTGAAAAAGAGGGTCACACATCGCTGGTATTATCCACAAGAAACTTTATTGGAGACTCCTCAGACAGTACACCATGGCAGAACCATGTTCTGTCTCAGCAGTCTCCAATAAAGTTTCTTGTGGATGATACCAGCGATGTGCGACCCTCCTTGTCAGACTTGCATCATCTGCAACAGGAGTGTGAGTGGGCTTGGTGCCAGACTGCACCTGCCCTTCACAGCTTAAAAACTAGTGATAATCAAATTCAGAGGCAATTATTTAATATGATAAAGTGCAGATACATTTATATAGTCTGACAGATACAACTGGCCCTTTGAGGGCAACCATAATGCTGATGTGGCCCACAATTGAGTTAAGTTTGACACCCCTGCCATAGATGATTTGATGGGGGAATCCCTCCTGCAGCACTAATGTGCTCTGTTGGCAGGGAGGCTTCCCAGCTGGCAGGGTACAATGATTACTGCTGATGGCTATAGCCGCCGAAGATAATCACATGTAAAAAATCCAACAGGCTAGTTGTACCCAAGTCAATGGATCGACATTAGTACAACCAGCCTGCCCATAGATGGACAGAATCTTGGACGGTCCTTACTGAAGTATATTGAAACCTGCTAATATATTTAACAGTTCCCTCTCCCTAACAGAGGGAAAACGTCAAAGAAAAGAAAATGTATGCAGCTACCACATCTAATGATTGGTAAGCTGCAATATATTACATTTCTGGTTTTGGGTTTAATACCACTTTAAACATCAGGATCCCATTTTAAACAATAGAATAAGAACTGAATGTAACCAGATAATATGGAAGTTTGTTGCTGATTTTTTTTCTCAGGTAAATTTAGAATAAAACTTTATTATAAACTAAATTATACCAGATATTAATATTACAGTATACAGTATTTATTCATTGTCTTGTCAAACCAATTTCTTTATTTCTTTTAGATTTCAGTAACGTCTTTAAATGTGCTAATATTCACAGAAAAAATTATTAACCTGTGTAAAATAAAGCAATATATGCACAGGCTATTTAATTTCATATTACAGAGTTTAGTGATTAGACAGTAATTGCTTTACAACTTCACAAAATGTAGGCTACAATGTATAGCCTACGGTCCTTTACAGAGTTTTTTCTTAATGCAAAAGAAAGTGCTCTGTGATTGAAAGAGAACTGGTCATGTGACTTTGACAGGCCTATTACCTTCTATTGCTCTCCACCTATGTTGGACTCCTGAAACCAATGGAGCATAACACAGATGTAAAAAGCACACAGCCTGTGCTTTATAAATGTGTTGTTTTTTTTTTTAACCCATTTATGACCGCCTGAAACATATGTGCGGAGGCAAAAGGGTGGGCTTTAATGCCCACATGCTGAACATATGCGTCGTTAGGTAACAATTGTTTATGTACTGAGAGCGAAAACACCAGCTCTTGGTTACAGATCAGTAGCAAGCAGGGGCGGACTGACAACTCATGGGGCTCCCGGGCAATAGGGGATCATGGGGCCCCTGTGTCCTTGCCCACACTCAAATCACACCCAAAAAAGCCTATGAAAGGTACCAAGGACATCTCATGGGGCCCCCTACTGACCCAGGGCCCTCGGGCAGTGCCCTAATCCCCCAATGGTCAGTCCGCCCCTGGTAGCAAGCGTTACTGGCTTCTGGTAACAGTGGTCACATGATTGCCGATCCTTCAAATCCCCCCCCCCCCCAGGCATTGTTAAACACTAGGGCAGGCAGAAGGGGGTTAAGGAAGTGCAGGCACAAAGTAAGTGACAGGTATTAAGTCAGGTTTCAAGCTCAGACCAGATTCAGTATCAGATCAGCAGAATATGGCGAAGGCTGAAAACATGGTTGTGGTGCAAGCCAAGGTCAGTACAGATGGATGAGCAGGAGTAGGCCATAACAAACTGGGTGTGTATCAGGAAGTCAATCAGAAAATTATATATGGATCCAGGTTAACAGTCAGCACTGGCTGTGTGTCACTATGCAATTTAAATATTTTACTTGATGCCAACAATAGGCGCATGTGGTCATGCACATGTTAGTGCATGTATATAGAAAACAAAAAGAGGGCACACGGGCCTAGTGCATTACGTTTAAAAATGAGATTTATTTATAAAAATTAAACTACTCACAAGAGAAATAAAATCAAATGGAAAGCATGTCACAAAGGATGCAATGTGATCCAAAACCCCTGACGGTGGTCTGGTGGGGGACTGCAGACCTCTAGATAGCTGGTGTCTTATGCGTTTCAAGGTTGTACCTCTTCCTCAGAGCCAGTGTGTATGCAGCCTGTGGACGCAGGCTCTGAGGAAGAGGTACAACCTCGAAACATTGCATCCTTTGTGACATGCTTTCCATTTGATTTTATTTCTCTTGTGAGTATTTTACTTTTTATAAATAAATATTATTTTAAAGGTAATGCACTAGGCCTGTGCGCCCTCTTTTTCTTTCCTATATACAGTTCTCTTTGGATTTCCCTGGTCCACTGAGGGCAGCAAGGCTTGCATTCCTTTCCTACTCATATGGGGATATTGACGTTGTTGAGTCCACTGTCCAGCGCAGGAGCACATGCATTGGATTGCTTTTTTCTTTCTTCCACATGTTAGTGCATGCCTAACCATCAGCAGTTAGCAACAACCCCTGGCATAAGGTTATTAGCTCCTGAGTATGGGTGTTCATACAGAAGTGCCATCTTTCATACTGGCGTGCCTGGCGTGTCCTTCTTGATATTGCTCCTTAGGTAAAACCACCAGGTGCCCAACTGAATCAACTTCTCTGGGTGGGGGTGCAGTATACTGCCTGTACTAATTCTTCCCCAAGAACATTTCATTCCAATTCCCAAAAATTTTCTTCAGGCCCAAACCCATTCCATTTAATCATATACTGAATTGGTTTTCTCCATTTTTCCAAAACAGGGTAAATCGTACCCTAGAGATCTTCCTTTTTACTGGAAATGGCCCCATACTGTATACTTAGGACCTAACTTCTTCTTGAAGCAAGCCAACCTTCGGTTAACTGTGGATAGCTACATACGATCACCTGGTTTATGAATTAAATTCTCCTCTTATCAAAAAAGTTTTTATTGTCCTTCTGAACCTTGATGTGCCTTCTTGTACAGAAATATCATATTCTGTACTGAAGTAACCTTCCTGGCAGATAGCAGGTGAAGAAGCATGCTTTTATTCACAAAAAACACAAGCTGATAACAGCACTACTTGGCTACCACCTATGTCTGAGAGTGCTGATGTTGGCTTGTGCTTTTGAAAATAAAAGTGCACCTTTTCACCCACAATCATTCACAACAGCACAAGCTGACTGTTTCACTGTCTGTACCATGAATAGCTGGCAGCAGGTCTGGGCTTACTCTGCAATAAACAGGAGCGATGAGGAGCTAGAGTGCTTCACACTGGAGAGGGAGCGGGGCTCACTGCAGCTGCTGGAACATGTTACATATTACATCCTAAATAAGGCTGTACCATGTAACATGCACTAAAGGGTGAACTTATGCTTTAACCACTTGTCCTCCAGAGGATTTACCACCCTTCCTGACCAGGCCATTTTTTGTAATACGGTGCTACATTACTTTAACTGAGAATTGTGCGGTCATGCAACGCTGCACCCAAATACCATGTATGTCCTTTATTTCCCACAAATAGAGCTTTCTTGTGGTGGTATTTGATCGCCTCTGCGTTTTGTATTTTTTGCGCTATTAAACAAAGAAAGACCGACAATTTTGAAAAAAAAAACCAAAACAATATTTTTGAATTTTTGCTATTAAACATATCCAATAAAAAGAATTTTAAAAAAATCTAATTTCTTCATAACTTTAGGACAAAATGTATTCTGCTACATGTCTTTGCTAGAAAAAATCCCAATATTTGTAAATTAATTGGTTTACATGAAAGTTATAGTGTCTACAAATGGCGGTATATATACTGGAATTTTTTTTATACTAGTATTGGTGGCGATCAGCAACTTATAGCGGGACTGCGGCATTCTGACACTGGGGGGGGGGAACTGATTAACTGCCACTAACATCCCCAGTGATACTAATACAGTGATCAGTGCTAATAAAAAGTGTACTAATGACACTGGGCAGGAAGGGGTTAACGTCTGGGGTGATCAAAGGGTTAACTGTGTCCTGTGTGTGTGTTTTTTAGTGTGTAAGCTTGCTGCTTTGTATTGCTCTGCTATGCAGAGCAATACAAAGCAGAATGCTGGTGCTAACAGGGCAGAGATCTGTATTTTTACATACAGATCTCTCCCCTTTCAGTGGAAGGGTGAGGAATCTCCAGGTGATCGACAGCTGTAGCCTCCAATGGCGACGCGGGTAGGGCAGCACATGTGTGCGTGCCCCCTACCGGGAATGCAAAATCACGTATATACAGTGCATCCAGAAAGTATTCACAACGCTTAACTTTTGACACATTTTGTTATGTTACAGCATTATTCCAAAATGAATTAAATTATTTTTTCCCCTCAACATTCTACATACAATACCACATAATAACAACATGAAAGAAGTTCGTTTTGAAATCTTTGCAATTTGTTTTAAAAAAAAAAAAAACACATGTACATAAGTATTGACAGCCTTTGCCATGACACTGGAAATTGAGTTCTGGTGCATCCTGTTCCCACTGATCATCCTTGAGAGGTTTCCACAACTTGATTGGAGTCCACCTGTGGGAAATTCAGTTGATTGGACATGATTAGGAAAGGCATAAACCTGTCTATATAAGGTCCCACAGGTAACAGTGCATGTTAGATCACAAACCAAGCCTTGAAGTCCAAGGAATTGTCCGTAGACCTCCGAGACAGGATTGTATCAAGGCACAGATCTGGAGAAGAGTACAGAAAATTTTCTGCAGCATTGAAGGTCCCAATGAGCACAGTGGCCTCCATCATCCGTAAATAGAAGAAGTTTGGAACCACCAGCAATCTTCCTAGAGTGGGCTGCCTGGCCAAAATGAGGGAGAAGGGCCTTAGCCAGGGAGGTAACCAAGCACCCAATGGTCCCTCTAAAAGAGCTCCAGTGTTTCACTGGAGAGAGGAGAACCTTGCAGAAGAACAACCATCTTTGCAGCACTCCACCAATCAGGCCTGTATGGTAGAGTGGCCAGACGGAAGCCACTCCTCAGTAAAAGGCAAATGGCAGCCCACCTGGAGTTTGTCAAAAGGCACCTGAGGGACTCTCAGACAATGAGAAACAAAACTCTCTGGTCTGATGAAACAAACATTGAACTCTTTGGCCCGAATGCCAAGTGTCATGTCTGGAGGAAACCAGGCACCACTCACCACCTGGCCAATACCATCCCTACAGTGAAGCATGGTGGTGGCAGCATCACGCTGTGGGGATGTTTTTCAGCGGCAGGAACTGGGAGACTAGACAGGATCGAAGGAAAGATGAATGCACCAATGTACAGAGATATCCTTGATGAAAACCTGTTCCAGAACACTCTGGACCTTAGACTGGGGCGACGGTTCATCTTTCAACAGGACAATGACCCTAAGCACACAGCCCACATAAGAAAGGAGTGGCTACGGGCCAACTCTGTGAATGTCCTGAAGTGGCCCAGCCAGAGCCCAAACTTGAACATCTCTGGAGAGATCTGAAAATGGCTGTGCACCGACACTCCCCATTCAACCTGATGGAGCTTGAGAGGTACTGCAAAAAAAAAAAATTTTAAAAATTGCCCAAAAATAGGTGTGCCAAGCTTGTGGCCTCATACTCAAAACAACTTGAGGCTGTAATTGGAGCTAAAGGTGCTTCAACAAAGTATTGAGCAAAGGCTGTGAATACTTACGTACATGTGGTTTTTTTCATTTTTTATTTTTCATAAATTGCAAAAATTTTAAAATGAACTTCTTTCATGTTGTCATTATGGGGTATTGTTTGTAGAATGTTGAGAAAAAAAATGATTTAATACATTTTGGAATAAGGCTGTAACATAACAAAATGTGGCAAAAGTTAGGCTCTGTGAATTCATTCTGGATGCTCTGCATATACGTGATTTTGAGCAGCCCTGCCACCCTGTAGAAGTAGTTTTGCTATAGGGCGGTAGGGATGCGGTTAAGGGAATTTACAGTCAACAGTTAATCACAAATCATGACATGACTATAAAGAAATAAAAAGATATTAGACTTTAGTTTGGCGGCAAAGTTTATGTAAACCCTAACACTGAAATTCATTCATTTACTCTCCTTTGATTTGTTAAATATACTAAATATTGAAAGTGTTTTGTTATACTTGACTGATAAGAGCAAAAAATACCTGTTAATCCTGCCAAAAATTGACTGCTGTCCTGTACACTCTGCAGACTTATCTCAAACTGTTTTATCCAGAGGTATCTTTATATACTATAGAGCACCCCCACCCTAAGTTATAAAGACGATGAAAAGAGGAGGTGTTCTGTAGTCCTGTTCTTCTCCTCCATAAATCCAGTATAGTGACCGAGCATTGTCATCCAAGGATAGGAACTGTGTTACTGGCAGAATCATCAGGTCAAAATAGTTCTTTAGATATGCTTTAGGCTTGGTTCACACTACTGCCATCTGATTTTGATCCCATTTACAGTGCAATTATGTAGCGGAACTTGGCTGTGTTTTGGATGTGGTTTGCATATTCTATGGGGCCTAAAACTGAGCTGGAATTGTATCAAAGTACAAGAACCTTTTCCAAAATCAGGCTGTGCTGAGAGTTACATTGATGTGAACAGGCACCATTGAAAATGTGATTTCCATTGTCATGCAATTCTGTGCGAGTCAATGCACATCTGAAATCACACTAGTGTCAACCAGGCCTTATGGATAATATGTTTAGATATACTGACATGTAATTGGTCACTGTATTGCACTGACTGTAACTAAACTTAACAGGAAATAAAATATCACCAGCATCGTCTGTTTAATATTTTCAGATTCAAAAAAAGAAAACCAAAATGAAATAAGTTCCTTGCTGAGAACCCTACAGTATTTAATGCAGCAGCTTATACCATTGATTTTGTGAAAGTTCTCTTTGTCTTAGTAATTATTTCCTGCTTATCACTGTTTAACTGCTCCACGACGGCGGCTACAGCTGTCGATCATCAGGTCCTGGCTGGAGATTCCCCGCCGGCACCCGGCGATCGCCAAGTATCACTGACGGGGGAGAGGTCTATATGTAAACATTACAGATCTCTCCTGTGTCAGCTCCAGCATGCTGAGCAAATACAAAGCAATGTGCTTACACTGTAAAAAACACACACAGCACACAGTAAAACAGCACACAGTTAACCCTTTGATCATCCCAGATGTTAACCCCTGCCTGCCCAGTGTCATTAGCACAGTGTCGGTGCTTTTTATTAGCATTGATCACTGTATTAGTGTCACTGGGATGTCAGAGACAGTTAGTCAGTTCCCCCCCAGTGTCAGAATGCCCAGCGCAGTCCCACTATAAGTTGCTGATCGCCGCCATTACTACTATAAAAAAAAAAAATTCCAATATATATCGCCATTTGTAGACGCTATAACTTTCACATAAACCAATTAATTTACATGTATTGGGATTTTTCCTTAGCGGAATACATTTTGACATAAATTTATGATGATTTTTTTACATTTTTTACTGGATATGTTTTATAGCAAAAATTAAAAAATATTGTGTTTTTTTCAGCTCCACCAAAGAAGGTTAAAAGCCAATGTAGCTAGAGGTGGTGCATGTGTGCACAAAAGTGTGCTTGTAAACGTGCAACATGAAATAATGTGTTTTGTTTAGTTTCGATTTGTTATTTGACTAATTTTGTTTCTTGGAATTCGTTTTGTTTATTCGAATTTGACTGAATTTGAAATCTCAAATGGATTAGAAAATAATTTTAATGGATTCAAAAATAATTCTAATGGATTTGAAAACAATTCTAATGGATTAAAAAATAATTCCAACAGATTCGAAAACAATTCTAACGGATTCAATAATAATTCTAAGGTTACAATTCATAATCCACAATCCATATGTGTTTTTGATGGTATATGGGCTATATGAAGAGTTGCATGACCATACTGGAAACTGTATTTCAACAAAATTTTCACAGGGCCTTTGCTGATCACTACGCACGTCACCATAGCGCAGTGCACAATTTTTTGTAAAGTATTTTAATCTTTCCCAATCTATTCTATTCTTTTCTATTATTTTATATTCTATCCTAATCTATTCTGTTCGAATTTAAATTCATTCTATATTCAAAATTCGAATTTCAGAAGGCAGTTATATTTTTTCTATTTTATTCTATTCTGTTGCTTTTCTATACTATTCTATTATATCCTTTATTCTAATCTTTTCCATTCTTCAATTGTCTATTCTATTCTATTCTATTCTATTCCTTTATTTTTTGCTCTGTTTTACTCTATTCTTTTCTTTTCTGTTCTTTGATTTTCTATTCTAATCTTTTCTATTCTATCTAATTGATTCTATTCTTTCTATTCTATTCTTTGATTTTCTATTCTAATCTTTTCTATTCTATTCTGATGATTCTATTCTTTTCTATTCCTTTATTTCAATTCTATTTTGTTCTGTTTTACTCTATTATTTTCTATTGTATTGTATTCTATTCTTTTATTTTCTATGCTATTCTATTTCTTTATTTTCTGTTCTACTCTTGTTTTCAAATTTGAATTGGTTTTTAAATTTGTTTTCTAATTTGAATTGGTTTTGAATGTGTTTTTGAATTCGAATTCATTTAAATTCGTTACTATTGTAATTCGGATACATCCGAATCTCCAAATAACAAACAATATGTCTGAATTTTGATTCGGAATGAAATGAACTGCAAATGTCTATGTGTTTGAGAATTGTGTGCAGGAGAGACATAGAAGGGCTAGAAGGCTGTAAGGCCAGAGCAACCAAATAGGCTGGTATGAAATGTTTGTTTTGCTGAGGAATGCTGAAACCCCCTGTGAGGGTAACCCTTTATGCAATGTTTGGAACTGTCTTTATACACATACACACACACATTCAGCTCTCACCTATGTCAACCTCTTTTTATTACTCTGTAAACATCCTCAACATATTAAATGTGCAGTTCATGTTGGGAAGCAGCCAAATGTCAATAGGCAGTGACATAACAACTGATGTGTGTACACTTGCACAGTGCCATTTTTTTTAAATGCTGTTAATTCAAAAAAATAAATCACAAAGGTCAATTGCAACAATTAAAACAACTATCTTGGAAAGTGCGCATGCGCGGCTGCCAGGATCGGATGTCCCGGCATTAGCTCCGCACATCTATGGCTCCGATAGCAGCCCATGTAAGGGCATAGTGCTGCCTCGCTTCCGGGGCCCCCCCCTGTCCTGAACCGGACCTCGGTCACTGAAAATAATGCCCGGAAAAATGGCGGTGAAGAGCCGTGGAGGCTCCCAGATGCAGCTCCTTGTGGGACTGGGAGATCCAAGATGGTGGCCGGATTGCGGCTCCTGGTGCCTCCTCTGCCTCTCTCACAGCAGCACCTCTCCCCCAGAGGGAGAAAACGGGTACCTCTTCCCACACTGGACCAAGGAGGATTGCAGCAGCATCACCAGCTGGGGTGAGTGACTCCCTGCAGCCCCCCCAGTCACCTTCCAGCCCTGTACCACCAGAGTCCCGGGCTTCGGCCTGTTCCTTGGGCCGTGACTCCCCTGCCTCTCGCCATTGAGCAGCGAGATAGCTGCCATTTTTTACAGCCAGCATAGCGGAGAGCCCGCAGATGACAGCCCGGCTTCCTCGCCAACAATTCCTCCTGACCTGCCTCTATATTCGGGTGATGCGACTTTGATAGCTCAGTTCGCATGCGCGGCTGCCAGGACTCTATCTTGGGTAACCCCTCTCATTGTCGGGAAATCTCCTCACACCTACAGACATTTTTTGACTTTAATAAAGCAGAGGACACGAACCTGGCGATTAATTGGACAGCTCATAAGGCCTCAGTCAGGGGATATATTATTCAACTTTCTTCTCATCTTAAAAAAGCTCGAAATGACCGACTTACTACTAAAACTCAGTCATACACTGACCTGGTTGCTCAACATAAGCAGAATCCCAGTCCTGATTTTTAATTAAACTTGACCAGGCCAGACTGGAACTTAACTTGTGTCTTACTGTGAGGGACCGCCGAGCGGCACCACTAGCACTCCACTGGTCAGGCGTGCCCAGAGCGCGGAGTCTAAGCCCCAGGGTACTTGTTCACCAGGGCCCCTGATGGTGGGGATGGACTTGTAGTACCCCGAGACCAGGTCGCCTCTACTGAGCACACCTGTCAGTGGTAGGGGTGTTCGCCAGGGGTTCCAACCAGGGAGAGCCAGATGTGAGGAGGTCGGGTGAGCCCGATGGGATGGATGGATGGCTGAGCAAGTGCGTAGTCAGACAGGCCGAGTCGGTAAGGTAGAGGACGGTAAGGTACAAGGGAGCAGGCAGAGAATCGTCGGGTCACACGCCAGGTCAGCAACAGGAGATCAGATCTAATAAGGGGCATCCAGGGAGAGAGGTCAGGCAAGCAGGGGTCTGGGCAGGAGAAATCAGCAAGGTCAAGAGCAATCCGGGTCAATAACTTACTAGGCACAGGTACAGGAACACAGGAAGCAGGTAAGACCAGAAGGCAACGAAATGACAGCTCAGGGACCTTTAAATATCCCGCCCTGCGCTGCCATTGGTGCCCAGCGGGCGGCCGCGGCTTCTACTGCGCATGCGCGAGCTCGAACGCCGCGGCCGGCCCGGACCTAGTGCCCGTGTACTAGGTGGAGCAGTGCGCCTGCGCCGGGACCATCGCGGCAGGGATCGAGGAGATCCCTGACACTTACTACCACTGCTGACAAACAACTTCGTTGGTCTAATCATACATTTTTTACTTGGAGGGACAGTCCTGGCACCCTGTTAGCACGCAAGCTGACTCCCAGACATTCCCAGATAGCCCTCCCCAAACTCAGACTGGATAACGGTTCGTTATCCCAGGACCCTGGTAAGATCCTCCACAAATGTAATTCTTTCTACACTCAACATTATAGCTCGCCCAAAGGGGGTTCTTCTTCTTCTCTTGATACTTTTTTGGAGTCTATTTCACTTCCCCCCCCCCCTTCCAGGAGGCCCATAGGGAGATGATGGAATGACCTATCTCATCGGGAATGTGGTAAAATCTCTTGCCTCTCATAAGGCCCCAGGACCGGATGGTCTTCCCAATAATTACTATAAAGCTTTCCCTGATATTCTGATGCCCCATATGGCCCTCTACTTTAATTATTTGCGGATGGAGGAGTGGTACTCCCAGATGAAAATAAGGCATTCATCAGTGTCATTCCCAAGCCTCTCAAGGATGACGCTATGGTCTCCAATTACCGGCCTATTTCCTTAATTAATTGTGATTTAAAGATTCTTACTAAAATCCTGGCCCTATGTCTTCATAACTTCTTGGCCCTATATATTCATGATGACCAATCAGGATTCATAAGCGTTCGACAAACATCGGAGCAAATTAGATGGACTATAGCTTTGCTGTCAGCTGTACAGTCCAATTGGGACGGGTCTCCACAGAGGGAAATTCTACTGTCACTGGATATTCAGAAAGCATTCGACAGTCTGTCCTGGGACTATTTATTTCGAACGTTAGACAAATTCGGGTTTGGCCCTTATTTTACGACGCTGTTGCGGGTCCTCTATTCTACTCCGTTCGCTCACGTTTCCATTCGTGGATATAAATCAGTCCCTTTTTTGATAGAACGAGGGACTAGACAGGGATGTCCTCTTTCTCCATTGCTCTTTGCGTTGGCAATGGAACCACTTGCGATTGCTATTCGCGCTGATCCCACTATCTTGGGCGTTTACTGTGGTCAACGGGATCATAAATGCGCCCTATTTGCTGATGATGTTCTCATGTACATATCTAATCCTCCAACATCTCTGCCTGGTTTCTTCCATTTGTTTCATCGGTTTTCTGAGGCTTCCGGTCTAACGCTCAACTCATCTAAAATGGTTGCTTTAAATATCTCGTTACCCGATTTTGGAGGCTCATTACTGCCGGGAAAATTTTGATTTTCAATGGGCCCCTGGTTCTCTCCCCTATCTAGGGATTCACCTCACAAAATCTATACCGACGTTATACAAGGCCATCTCCCGCTTTTCAAACGACTTAAAAATGACTTACTAGATTGGCAGGATCTCTCACTTTCCTGGTTCGGTAGAATTAATTCTATTAAAATGACCTTTCTACCAAAGATTATTGTACTATTTCAGGACACTACCAATCATGATCCCCAAACAGGAACTGTTATTACTACAAGCAGCAGTCTCTAGATTTAACAAATCTACCTTATTTTCTCTGAAGAGGCATGGTGGTTTGGGACTGCCTAATCTTTTAGCATACTTTCAGGTGGCCCAAATAGCACAGTTATCATGTACTATGGCCAGGGGATATGTCCCCCAATGGGTTGGGATTGAGGCTCTTTCGTGCCGTCCATATGCTATTGGTACTCTCATGTGGCTTCCCAGTGGATTGCATCCTCCTGTTTTGTGTCCTACTCTATCCTATTCATTATTGGTGTGGGATAGATGGCGAGCTCGTAAACCTTTCT